CTCGCGAACATGCAAACTTTCCCCGACCGCCTGTTGTTACGTGCTGCTCCACCGAGGGAGGTGTTTGTCTTTTTGCGCTCGGGCGCTTCGTTCGCTCCTGTCCGCAGCGAGTCGTGCGCCCGTGCCGTGGGGGAGCGGGGGAGCCGAATCCATTGGCGGAATGAGATGCCGGTTGCCCGGACGACTGCTTACGTCTGCAAGCTGCTCCTCCATCTCCCTCCATTATCTTGCTCTCGCTATCCACCCTCCCCTCCATCACCGCCACCCTTCATCCTCCTCCTCCTCCTCCTACCAACCACTCTCTTTGCCCCTTCTCCTTCTTCCCTCATTTCCTTTTGACCGCTTATTTTCTATCTTCTCTGGTTTCTCTTTATTTGTTGTTGTTGTTGTTGCTACGATTCCGTTGTTATCTGTCCGTCTCTCTGCCACCTCTGCCTCAACACGTTCCGCTGCCAATGCTTCCACTTCCTCGTGCCCCCCCCTCTTCCTCCTCTCTCTCAGACTCTCTGTCTTGCTTCATCCTCTTCACGTCGTTGCGTCTCCCTCTCCTTGCCCCCCCCCCCCCCGTCACGTCCCCTCCCCACTCCATCGCGTGCCTCTTTGTTGATTGTTTTTTTATTAATTGGCAAAATAATAACGCACCACTCCTCTCACCGCGTAAATTTGCTTGAGCGTTAAACATTTTTTTTTAAGCTCTCATCCATCTGTTACGGTCCTCGGCTCTACCCCGATCCACACCTCTCTGTGTCTCTCGCAAGAGTGCCAGTCAGTACCACCCCCCCCCCCTCCCCCCACTGGCACTGTCACCACCTGCTCTGGAAAATGACCTTCAGTGCCCGCAGCCCATGCTCTCTGAAGTTGGTGCACGGCACAACGGTACTTTACAGCTCAATGTCCGTGGTGGTGACCCAAGACAGGGCGCTCTGCGTTGTAAAATCCGAATCCACATCCTAGCCGTCTGCTGAGAAAAAAGAAATTGAGCCGGACACGAAGGCACACACCGACCAAGCTACTGACTCAGCCACGAGCCAATACACTTAGTCGTGAATCCCTTCACCAGCAAAGTTGCTGACACAGTCACTAACTTAGTTGCCAGTCTTACCACGAACATAGCCATTAGTTTAGACACCAACACAATTTCCAACCCAAACTCTAACCAGGCCACTAACTTATTCAGAAACCTGGTCACTAACCCACAAAGCCCCTGACTCAGCCATTATCTCAGCCACTAAGCCACTGTCCCAGCCACTTACTTAATCAGCCACTACCCCAACCACCGCTTCTCATCCCATCGATCTCAAATCCTACTGCCTCTGAATTCAGACTTTACACTCCCACTTTCATTTGCCAGTTCATGTAGCAGAGTCATCTTCATCACACCGAGCGACACCGCCAGTGAGAAGTGCGGTTAAGCTGTCACGCTGAAATATTGAACGTGCAGCGTGCAGATACGGCCGTTTTCCAGAAATATATATTTGAAGATTGTGACGCTGAAACGGCGGTAAAGTGGAGGGCAAGGGAGGGCATCCTTGTAAAGTTAAGGCAACAGATGCAACAATTTGTGTGAACCCAAATGGCTCAGAGTGAGCGCACGCGACAATAGGGAGCGCTGCATCCCAACACCCGCCGACTCCTGTCATGGGCTTACGGGCGAGGCACGGTGGTTAAAACCCGACGTGTGTTGGAGGGTTCGGGTATCCACACGGCATTGGGCACGTTTGACAGTCGATGGTACAATCAAGGAGCAATGGATATGGGTCGATGAGTGAATAAGTGGACTATTGCTGGGGTCAGGAGCCAACTACGCAGAAAAGTGTGAAATACAATTTTTGGAGCACCTCGAGCTGAGTAACGTAATTGACCCTTTGAGCAGGTGGGATTTGGGGCTGATCTAGAAGTGGTTTCGTTGAGCAGGGAGCCTCCTGCATGGCTTAGCAGGTAGCTCTTTGATTCAAGGAGAGGAGGTGTTTGGGTGAGGAGGGAACCCTTTGGCTGACCACACGGTCCATAGTTTTTCCTTGGCAGGGAGCCCTGGGATGAATAGGGCACCCTTGGGTTGTATATTTTACTTTAGGCGTTTGGGCTGAATGTGGGAATCACTCTGGTAAAGTGGAGGGCAAGGGAGGGCATCCTTGTAAAGTTAAGGCAACAGATGCAACAATTTGTGTGAACCCGAATGCGATTGGCAACAAAACCTGGAGTGTTTGAACCCTCGAGCAAATCGCAATGCGATGCCAGGACTTTGAGCGGTGTTTCAGGACAGGGGCTATGAAAGCAACATCTGAGCAGGAAAGAGAGTCAACAATAGAAAATGAATTTTGGCAGTGGAAGCAACAGGGTGTTGTCGTTAGCCTGCCTACGGTCTGATCGGTTGGTTGGCTCCGACAGGAAAATACTGCTCTGTATAAAGCCACCAACCCCACGAAATTGCTTTTGTGCTGTTTTACATCTTCATTACTCGCCACCTGCCAGAGCGGCGTGTCAAGAGGTGATGGGGGTTTTGGAAGGTGGGAGTGGGGCGGAAATGCGGTGAGATGGAGTGGCCACGGCTGTCGGGGGGAGGGAGAGGTGTACGGGAGGCTGCGCATGACCTCGCCGGGCCGGTGCGGTTCGGGGAGAGGGAAGGCGCTGTCGTTTGCGTGCAAGTAGTCGGGTTATTGCCTCCAAAGCAGATTACAGCAAGATGCCTTTGTCAATCAAACAGAAGACGCTCAGTAGGTGGGAGGCGACCGTGAAGTGATCGCACACTTGGACTTGCAAATCCAGAGGTCACCGGTTCGATTCGATCTGCCGGCGTGGCAGTTGAAACGACGATAGAGCGTTTCTTAAAATGCCCTCCGCCTTCGTCCGCCCCGAAAGTGTAAATGGGCAAACCACATTTAGTTGATTGGCGGGTCATGTGTGATTGAACAAATGGGTAGTTCCCACCTCTATCAAGATGTTTGGCCATATCAGTGTGAAAGCAAAGCCAAACTCACTCTTCGAGGGCCTCTCTAAAGCTGCTGCCAGAAGTGCTGTGAGCAAGCAATTACAGCACTGCGCCTTTACTAATTTACGCGGCATCATACAGGTGAATCATTGCTTTGCGCCAAAAAGATATTCAATACCAGAATTGTTGCGCTTTAATACTGAACCTGTTGGTCAAGTTGCAAAGTTTTCCCATATTTGGGGCCATGACAGCAGAACAACCACTCGCTCTTGTAAATCATGTGATGGGGGGGGGGGTTCTTTTATCGTCATATTTGTAGGATTATCAGCCATTATTATAATCACTGATAATTATCACTGAAAGCACTACACCGTTGCAATCATCCGCCTCGGTGGCGAGCTGCGGCTACCTTAACTGCGAGGCTATTTCGTCAACCTTAATCTTTTACAAATAAATAAACACACTCAGAAACATCCGGCCTATTTTGTTCCAACTCGGGTCCTGACCCATTTGACTGTTCGCTTCCCGTGGCCGCTTCCAGGCTGAGTCGGGTCACGACCCGGCATCGCGTGGCCCAGTGCCGTTGGATTAATCTGGCCTCGAGGCGAGGGCGACTTGTTAGCCGAAGCCCTGCACTCCTCGCAACTTAACCGGCGAGTTGGGCGGGCCCATGAGACCCTTCTCTCCCCCGAGCTGCGAAGGGGGGTTGAGAGAAGAGCGTGGGAATAAAGGTGATGCTTAGGTGTTGAGGTTGTGGCTTAATTAGGGCCGCGTGCAAGGGGAGGAGTCGTTAACTTGATCGTACGCGGCATGTGCGCTGTGCGACCAGTGATTCTGTTTGACGCGTACATTCACCATCCTGCCTGACGGGGCTCTGGTTAAGAGTGCTTGAGAAGTGCAATCAAATATCGATTTAAAGCTTTCGTGACTGCAATGATTCATCTTCTTTGGTTCTTTCGGTAAAGTCACGTAGAATGAGAATAAAATAATAAATTGATCAAATAAAATAACACAATAAAATTCTCACGACGTTTCGGCCACAACACAAGCGGCCTTCATCAGGTGACTGTCTGGTAGGACAGCGCTGTCCTACCAGACAGTCTCGCCCCCTTCACCTGATGAAGGCCGCTTGTGTTGTGGCCGAAACGTCGTGAGAATATTATTGTGTTATTTTATTTTATCAATTTATTATTTTATTCTCATTCTACGTGACTTTACCGAAAGAACCAAAGAAGATGCAATCAAATAGTTGCGGATTTGAAATCTCGGTCGGAATTTAACTTGTTTATCGTCTCTCTCGGTCGATTAAATGAGTGCCACTTTCTTGTCCTATGTAATGTCTGGACCGCTTGCCAAAATAATTTATTTTCCCAGGAGACGCGTGTATTTTTACATCAAATTGTGATTCAGCCGAATTCACACGGTCTGTGAGTTGTCTTCTCAAAGTTTGGTGACCTTTTCTAAATAATTGCCAGGGACAGGGCCTCCTTTCCAATTGAGTGACTCTGATCAGTAATTCATTTGTGCACAACACTGAAGATTCCAAATTGTATAGCTGCCGCCTCTGCCACCTCTGCCACCTCAGATGCCTGTTTAACTCCGCAGGTGTTCGCCCTTTAATTGGGATCGCACCACCATCGTTTGCGTTGCGCTAATGCAGGTTGGGAGACGTTTTTTTTAATCGGCAACGTGGGGAACGGAAAAGCCTACCACTTGTGAAAGTTAAGTAAATATATTTTGACTCATCAGTTGTGCAACAGAGATTGCCACGGTATTATTAGCCAGACAATGTGCACCTTTGTCCTTTTCAAGTGTATTTAATGTTTCGCTCTTGGACTATGAGATACTTGCATCAAATCATATGTGTACCAATCAAGAACACTTGCATTTGTGTAGGTTGCATCATCCACCTCCGATTCGCACGATTGGCTACGTACGGTGCGAAAGAAGCTCAACAAGCAGTACATACAAAGCTTGTGACACGTGTGCGTCCGAAATAGTGGAACTGGCAAGAAGCCTCAGAAGGAACTCACAGCACGAATGCTGCTCTTGTTGTTGTTTCCCTGTGCAGGCGGACGCCAAGATGGTGTGCGACGTCGTGAGCCGCATGGAGGACACGGAGCCATACTCGCCCGAGCTGCTGGGCGCCATGAAGCGTCTGTGGAACGACTCGGGCATGCAGGAGTGCTTTAACCGCGCACGAGAGTACCAGCTCAACGACTCCGCCAAATAGTGAGTTCAGGCCTCACTCACAACTTACGGATCCAGAGGTCCATCGTGCCGTCCAGCATTCCGCTCTGTACGCACGCCGAACTGCTTCCGTGCCGTACGTAGCCAACCCGTGCTAATCGGAGGTGCGGGAAGTCAACAGTGCCATGTTGCTGGGGAGAGGTTGACCATGGCTGGGGAAATGTGATGTTTCCACCAATAAGGATGAGTGCAACTCCAACACTCGATGGCACGATTGCTCGAAAGCTCGATTGAGCAGGGACTCGACTTGGTCTCTTGCATTCTTGAAAATCCACAAATCCCCCAAAAAAATCCTCAACAGATTTGTTTATATGATGCATATAATATTATTACATTTTTGATCTCACCATTTATACTGTGTGTGTGAATACTGCCATGGTGTAATGGTTAGTAATTCAGAGGTTGCTGGTTCGCACTTCTAAGATATCTGTCCAGCGTGGAAGAGGAGGTGAACATCATGTCCTACGGAGAGGCGCTCTTAGAGTTCCCTACAGTTGAGGTCCTTCCGCCAGCAGTTGGCGCAAGCGAGCATTTGCAAGGCTACAGCTTGGCCTGTAACTGTGTGCGTGTGTCGCGTGCTCGCCACAGCTACCTAGACAGCCTGGACCGTATCGGGGCGGAGAGCTACCAGCCCACAGAGCAAGACATCCTGCGGACACGCGTCAAGACCACGGGCATCGTGGAGACGCACTTCACCTTCAAAAACCTGCACTTCCGGTCAGCTGATCCACATACACACAAAGATCCCCCATATGACCATAACGGACTGTTGGGGCAAGTGCTGTTAGCAAGCAACTATGAAGTACGGCACGGCACACGAGGGGGTGGGTGGCCAGCACCATGCCCGGGTCTCCTGATTAGCGACATTTGCACAATGCACCAGGTCCTCATTTGAGGCCGAGTGAACCTAGAGGAGGCCCTGGACCGGTTCAGATAATCATCACTGGTGTTGGCCGTGAGCGGGAATTTAACTTGTGTCACCGGGTTCGTAGCGCAGCACGCTAGCCACTGCGCACCACTAGCCCACAAATTCACACACACGATCGCACGTGAACCAATGAGCGCTCAAATGCGCAAATACCGTAGTAGATGTATTGTAGGTCCCATTCCGGAAGAACATGTTGGCCTGTTCTCGTGAACAGTGTTATGGAATTTTTCAACATTCATTCATCAAATTGTCATAGAAATGAATTTGGATTCGAACGAGTGAACCCTGAACTTTGGGAAAATCGCCCGACGCTGCAGGTCACAATGCCAACTCTCTGTTCATATCCGCAGAACAAAGAGATATTGTGAAACATATAAACTCCTCGCGCAGGTCTCCCCGCAGCCAATGTCATTCGCCATTTCCACTCCTCCTTCCGCCACTGCATCCCACTGGGATTTTTTTGCACACAGCGTTGGTGGTGTACGGTGCTTTTTTTTCAGGAATATTTTTGCTGTTTTTTTTCCATGGATTTTCTCATTTGCACAGTCACATAGTCACTTTAAGATGTTTTTCTTGTTCGTGTTTTAGTTTTTTTGTTTGTTGTGGTTGCACCCGATTCAAGAGCCGGATGGCTCACAGGGCTATACCAAAATAAACTGAACTAAACTGAACTGAACTGAGAGGCACGCATAACCCCTTGACAATATTCGTTCAAAATTAGCAGCCTTTGCTGCGGGAGCGGCGGCAACAACGGGCGCTGTTAGCTGTCGCTGCGCATGTCACATCGATCATCGCGGCCGGTGTGGCGGACAGATGACGTCACAAGGCGTGAGCTCTAAACGCATCGGGTGGACGCTTCTAAATGGGAATAGCACCAGCACTCAAACCGAGTAGTCGTATTTTATTGAATTTATTTTTGAAAAAATGATTTCAACACAACATGAGCCCAGTACAAATCACCAGTCACAGTACGGGGGGGGGGGGGTGGGGGGGGGGTTGGGGGGGGGAGTGGACCTCCACGAAGAAACTTCCGAAATTGGTGCGCCAGGGTCTTCACGAAAGGGGGGACATTTGGGCTCTCAGCCCCACCCAGGTGGGGACTGCAAGTAAGATAACCAACATAACGGGTTGGAGGGAGGTGGGGAAATGGTGGGGAGAGGGGGGGGGGTAAATGGAGGGAGACAGGGGTGGGGAACAGGGGAGTAAAAACAGGGATGGGAAAAGGGGGGGTGAGTTTTCTTGGATTTAAAAAATGTGCCCGATGCTCGCTTGAGCGATTGAACGTTGGGAGCTCAAGAGCGATTAATGGGCGCGCGTCGTTCGCGAGCGATTTGTGCGTGCGCAGTGGCTCTCCGTTTCACGTGACGACGCCTGGTTCACTTGGACCCTGTTTTAGGTCGGTCTCCATTAGGATTAGGATTTGTCGCTCGTGAAAGCTACGTCATGTCATCAGGCTTACGAATCGACTTTATATGCACATCCTGCGGGAGTGTGCTCTCCCGACCAATGGCAAATTAGCAGATGTTTATGGGTGCTAAGCTAAACGACCTACCTGCTTATACTATACGTTTCACAATATAAGCATGGTTTAGCAAATCCCAATTTGGATTTCATGTTCAAGTAAAGGTAATTTCTGTTAAGTTGTTCCGTCCTGCTCATTGTGCAGACAGGAGATTAATTCACACCGCTTTTGAGCTCCAGAAAACGTCCCGTATGTATTGAAAAGTAGAGAATTTTTTTTTTAAAAGGTGTCTTTGTGAGTTGCAAATTATCATAAACGAAAAAGAACGTGAAAAATCAAAGTAATTTTCAGAATGCATTTACATATCTACAGGTTAATAGGTTCACACTGGCAGGGTATTAATGGGAAATCGTGTCTTGTCTGTGGCGCACGACACACGTGTACAAACAATTTGGTTTCCTCTCATTCAAGAAAAGAATCGAACTCTGTTTTGGCATGATAGATTTTTATTTTTTTTAGCAATAATATGACCACTCTCCAATTTAATAACCATTACAAATGAAACAGCGCCTGGGCAAACTGATTCATCACAGCCCCAAGCTTTTCACTTAATATTGAGTAATATTATTGTTTTATTAATTGTTTTCAGATTTTGCAATAGTGTAACGGTTCGCACATTGGGCTACCAATCCAGAGGTCACCACCGGTTTGTTCCCCCGGCATGACAGTTGCTACAATTGGCAAGGATCTTAAATCCCTCTGCCTCTGTCTACGGAGCAGTATAAATGGGTACAACGCAATGAATTGGCAGGTCACGTGTGGCGGGATAAAGTGTGGGTAATGACACCTCTTCCAAAACGTCTGGCCAGCTTGGGATACTGGGCCGAAGAAATATCCTCTTGAGGGGCTCTCTAACAGGTCCATCCAGTGGAGCCCCTGCCACCAGCAGTGTTTTGTGTAAGGAACTGCAGTGCTGTGTAGTTTACACTCACCACCTTTTAACTACCCGAGGTTGCATTTCAGTTGATCGTATTATTGCACACAGTACAAAAACATAAAATGTATATTAATTTAAAGCCTTTATATATGCAGTCCAAACATCTCGAGTCTGAGAAGTGAAAAGTACAGGTAATAATGAATCTAGATTTGTTACTTGATTTTCAAATTCAGCAACTCATAACTCTTAGATGGTATTCTATAATGTGCCATAAATGCTTGAAAACGGGACTAAACGTGACATTATTTCTAAGTGCCATTGTCATACCTTCACCTCCATCGACATTTAACCACTGCAGTGATATTATTCGGTGGCACAGATGATTAGAGTGCACAATGGGCAGTCAGATGGGGCCGCCTGTTCAAATCTTGGTCACGCATCATCAGATCACACACTCATTTGTCCAGGGTCAAAAAAATGTGTACTTCTGTGGATAAATTTGCTTCACACTCTGACTTGTTTAATCACAGTGTATACATAATTCTCATTTTACCCAATACTCATTGTGTAGTTTTCTTACATAAAAAAACTATAAAAATGGTTTGCAAATATATATTTTTATCATAACTGACAGATGGTCTGAGTTCAACAAAATTGATGCAAGTGAAATCTGTTTCAAACCAAGTTGTGGCGTATTTGCTGCCCATCAGCCCAAGAGCTGAGGCTCACAGGGGCAGCTGGCTTAGGGTCCAGGAGGCAGCTTGAATTAATAACGTTAGTGACACCACCGCAATGAGCCGCAGACTGCTCAAACGAAACAACTAAATCACCCTGAATGCTCCCGATTTCATCGGATTTCAGAAGCTAAGCAAGATTGATTCTGGGCAGTACGTGGATGAATTACCACCAAGGATTATCTGGTGTAAGGGCTGCAAGGTGGCCAGCTGGCTACACAAGTGGGTTCAGTGCACAGATGACCTCTCTGTGGATTGACACGCCACTAAAAACTCTGCTAAGCGGACTTAACTAAACTATTTTTTATTTTACCAGGTAAGGCCCAATATGCTCTACAGCTCCTTTTCAGAAGCACCCTGGCCACAAATGATAGCTCGACGAAGTGGCTTGTCATGCGTAAATGTATAGCGGCCATATGCTCAAAACACATGTTTCTAAATGCGGAGGCAAAAAACAGAGGACCCGTAAAAATTAAATGTGGCCACAGGAAGAACATGCAAACTCCAAATATACAGGTGTCAGGGTTGCGATCGAACCAACAACCTCCTGTATACCTGGCGATTTAGTTTACATCTGGGGAGCACTGGGCCGGCTATCTGAAAACTCTGGCTAGCCGCAATTTCAATACAAATGTACGTAAAAAAAAGATCAAAAATACAGCTTATGCGATACACATACTAGGGTGCGTCACATACGTGGCCTGACGGATTTAAACCGCGGTCCTCTGGAGCAAATTGGTGAATGTCCTACCGCTGGGCCGTGTCATCTCCCCGTATTGATGATCGCGGTGGCGGCGGCGACGGCGGTGGTGGTGTGCCTCCCTGTAGGCTTTTTGACGTGGGGGGACAGCGTTCGGAGAGGAAAAAGTGGATCCACTGCTTTGAGGACGTGACGGCCATCATCTTCTGTGTGGCCCTGAGTGGCTACGACCAGGTGCTGCACGAGGACGAGACCACGGTACGTACGACGATCGCTCATTTTGCTCGCGCGCATTTGACTGCCATACGTGTGCGCGCGTGCACGCCGGTGCACGGGGAGTAGTGCTCTGGTGGATAGCGCTGTGCATTTCGAACCGGGATGTACGAGTTCTATTCCCAGCCAAGCCTAGTGCTGGTAACGCCACCACCTTGTGTGCCGTAGCGGCCTTTATAGGTGCTCACTAACAGCACCCCAGGGGTCTGTGTAGGCTACATGGGCGATCTTTGTGAGCGTATATGGTGTGTGAGCAGTAGTCAGTGCACCGCACCACAATCCCGGGAACCTAGGTTCTATTCTCAGCCATTGCTAACAACAGCGGCGAGTGCTCACAGAACTACCCTAATATCAATAATTATTTATTTAACCAGGGATACATAAGAGTCCTAGGTATCTTTTTCAGGAGGGTCCTGCATTGGGTGTTTATTTTAAGATGTTTTCTAGCCAATTTACAAGTGTTTATCATGCAACTGGGAGGAAACCGGAACACCCACAGAAAACCTGCACGTGCAGATGGGTATTAGTTAACTTGCCATACAGATGCCTTCTCCTGGCGAGCCGGGTGTATGGCACCTCAACGCCCACGGGCAGGGAGTTTCACAACATCTGTGTGCGATGCACCAAACCCTCACCTCCACAGTGCTGGATTACAGGCGTGCATAGCCACTGCCCCCCTTGTGGAGCCGTGCGTCATTGCACGGGCACCTGGGGCGAGATGTAAACATCATCACTGGGGAGACAAACGCGGCCGGGTGTAATGGTGGCCACACCACCAAGTTGTCCTCCGTGCTGTCATTAATAGGTGATCCCTGCTAGCACTTGTCCCACCCCCCCCCCCCCAACATCAGTCTGTGTGCATATAACCAGGGATCTTTTGCCTTTGTCTTTGCGTATAAGCTTGGATTTGTTCTTTGTCGAGGATGGCCACTTCGTATGGTGCTTATTTTCACTAACCCCAGGAGCTCGCCTTGAGACACATTGTACGAATAGGCTGCAAGACCGATGCGACTCGTGATTATGACGATGATGGCGATGATGATGATGATGATGCTTTTAACGTACCAGTGTATGTATAACCGCTGTACGCGTATCGGCGCATTTACAAGTGTGTGTGCGTGTGTACAGGTGTGATCATACATGTGAACATTTGCCTGACTAATAATTGCACGGTGCACACAAGCGTATGCTCTTGTTCAACTAACCTGGTTGCTCTTATGCACATGCAAGTTTGTCCGTGTGTGTGTGTTTATTACATTCGATACAGGTTCGAGGGGGCCACCTGTTCAATAGGTGGCCACAAACTGGTACCCCTATAGATCTGTGCATGTTTCAATGAATAACTGGATGTGTGTCTGCACAAGTGTCTGAATATAAGAAAAGATAGGTGTGTGTGTGTGTGTACTTGCCCAGTTGGATACGCTCACTTTTAACCTCTGCTTGTGTCCACTACGGGCCTTGTATCTGCGCGAAACGAGGCGGTGCGTTGCAGCACAATGGAGGTGCTCACGGTGAATTGAACAATGCCAAGCTACAGCGTGTCGCCTGACCGCTGCAGCGTGTGTTAACACCACCGAGGTGTGTTGTGCCTGCTGCGAGTGCCAACCTGAGCCACCGTCTATTCACACCGCCCCCGTCTGAAAGGGTGCAATTTTCGGCGGTGTCTTGTGTGAAAGCAGCTACATCGTGGTTGTGTGATAACACTTGGAAATAGATCAACGGTTTCATCTTTTGTGCGACTGGCCAGGCGCGAGTGTCATGCAAGACACAATAAATGTACCACGAAATCGTTGAAGAGTTCCACAGCAGGGTTTTTTTTAAATTTATTCTATGAAATTTTATGCCAACCGGTGCCATCTTTTAAATCTCTTCGAAGCCATTGGCAACCAGTTTATCTTGCATACAAAGTTTTGACGGATTTATTCGCCACAAATGAGCTCGTACTTGGTGCCCTCGTGCAAACGCTGACGGAGGTGAGAGACGAGAGATGGGTTTAGCAGGCGACTGATGAGACTGGGCAAATGGCCCCGATTTGTTCCACGTTTAAAAAGAAATTAAGTTCCCACTGTGGCACGTACGTTCTCCTCCATAGCTGTTTCGTGAACATACAGCAAAGCCAAGGTGGCTCATGTGCCACACTTAACAGTAAAAGCCCATGCGTGATTTCGTAAGCAAATGCCTGGTACAAATTAAACTTCTGCTGTTGGTCTAATGCTATCGTTTTACTCTCTTAAATATACCCCTCTTAACTGGCTGAAGGCAGCGGTGCGTTCACCTCTTTTATAATGCCTGGTATGACCATGAAAACTTCTTGTTGTGGTCAAGTCCTTTGCTTGGACAGTCAAAATCTTAATACTCATCCCAACATAAGGTCCCAAATGATTTGAGTAAAGGGTCGCGTCTGATATAAAAACACCTTGTACACAGAGCAGCAGCTCCCTGCAAGCCATAGCATGCTGTTCATCCCCAGCGAGGGTCAAACATTGCTCAAGTGTTGGCGAGATTCATTACAACATCACAAGCACAGCCAGGCAGCTGTGAATTAGATGGCTTCTGTTGAATGTCATTCGCGGACAATTTGAGAATGTCGTATCCTTCAGTCGCATTACGTGGTTCAATGTTACCACCCCTGTGCGTTAGCAATGTGTGCGTTAGCAATGTGTCCTTATGTAATTTCCACTGGTTTTGATTTAATGGTCCATGTGTGATTATTGCCATCAAATCCATCAGCTGATTGACATGCGTGCGGGCAGCGAGCTTAGCTTGCACAACCATCAGCATTGCATTTCAGCACTTTAAATATAACTTAGCAGTGCCATATTTTGTTCTTGTGCGACTGGTAGAGTGAGATCGATTGCTGAAATGCATTTTAGCCTTCCGTTAATTTTCCACTGCAGGTGAACGTTAATGGGGAAATCGAGTTGCAATGGCAAAGAACGTGATAAAGACATTGAGAGAAGCAAATAACCAAAGAGACGACACGCTTTAATTAAATAAAAACCCCGGTCCCTCGCAGTTTCAGCATTCATAAAATATAATGCAATTCTCTTCCTTAGAGAGATACAATTTTGATGTAAATTAACCGGCGGTGGTTTGAAATTATTTCCGCAAGGTATATTTTGCAGGTCACATGGCCTTGCTCGACAGGACCATTACAATCAATGGGAATAATCTACCTTCAACTGCTTTAGAAATTAAACATTTTTTTGCAAATGTCAACAATGTAGGATCACACCTGCATCAGCATAGGCCACGGCTTTCGGGTCGTAATGCACGTTGGTCGGCACGATTTCCGACGTGCCAAAACCTACGCGGAAACACAGGCAGATTTAGCTCCTGAATCCTTCCCATGACAATTCTTTTCCAATAATTTAAATAACACTGGTTAGAATTCGAGGCACGCCTCGCATCAAGGCATGTGTCAATTTATGGGTGGCAAGAAAGGTCAAATGACAAACGCTTCAATAATTGATTTCCAAACGCCTCTCTGCTTCTCCGATTAGCACGTTTGGCTACCATTGGTGCAAAAAAAGTTGAACATACATATGTCAGGCATGAGCGAAAATCGAGAGAGTAAGTTGTCCGTTTTTGAAAATCCAGAAAAATGCTTCAGGGATAAGCTCAGTAAGAGCATTGATACAGCAAAGGTTCATAGGTATTTCCATGGCAAGGAAGGGAAAGCGTAGTGGAAAGCCATGTGAGTTTGCAATCACTTACAAAGGTCACAGGCAGGTAGCCATGTATTATTCACGATTCACCCAAAGCGAGACCATGCAATTGTAATTCAATTCAGACAGTAGGCTCCTATTTATCACCCAACATCGCTGCTCACCATTGCGTATTCGCCATCCTCGCTGACGCTAGTGGGGGGGGGGGGGGGGGGGGGGGGGGGGGGTAGTGACGATGCATCGCGGTTGAGAGGAGTTGTGACCCTGCCCTGAAATCCGGAGGCTCGTTTCCACGGCCGAGCCCTCCGGTGCCGCCGTGTGTCATCCATTTTCAGATCGCCGCTGTCGGCTCTTCCGTGCGGCACCGGGGATGAGTGCAGATTTGCGCGACCACGCGATGGTCAGCCCCGGCGATTACGTGCGCGTGACAGATTAATACGCACACGCGGAGTTAAACCGCGGATTATTATTAAATATTCATCGACCGTCGAAACGCCAAATGGCTAACATTAATACTGCATTTAAATCCATCTAGGCTTATTGCTCAATGTTCTTTGGAATTTATAGCTACAAAGAGCGTCCAACTGGCAGATGAGAACAAATATTTTAGTGGCGTATATCCTGGATGGATAAGATATGTGGTCGTGTTTTTTATTTGGACGGGCAGACGACGGTGATTTAAGTGACTGAAGTTTGCTACGAATGTTTGTCCACGCTACTTCTATAAAAAAATACTACTAGCATTGTTTTAAATGTAGGCCTCTGAATATTCCAGCCCGAAGGTTTACCGGTTCTCTTCGTTGTGCATGGTCAACCTGCAGTTCTAAAATGCGTTTTACCTCGCACGCTAAACACTTGCAAATCTGCCACCACCTTAGTGAACCAAGAAATGTGCTTTCTACAGTGTGACCCCGAAGGGGATAGATAGCAGCCGAAGCCAATTGTCCAGTTACGAATATTGTGGTGTGCACATAGTAGTTAGCTATTAACATATGCGTATAGCAAATTTATGTAATGTACAATATTCACTCAATGGGGTGGGGGCTGTGACGCCCTACCCATCCGGCCACCTGGGTTCAATTCATGGCATTGGCTAACATCAGCAGGTGAGTAATACCTGAACCAACCTTGGGTTCCACCCCCCCCCCGCCCCCCGTCTTAACCGATCCCTACTGACCAAGGTGGGGAAGTATAGCCCAACAGCCCCCATGACATGACTCATGCAACATTGAAAAGCCTTAATTCAGCATTAGGTTGACAAAAAACTTGTAAACTATTTTTAGCATTGTTATTGTAATTAGGGAGACATAGAACTGC